AGGATGTGGAGCAAATTTTTGATGAATTGCTTGCTGCAAAAGTGATAAAACTCCCTAAGCCAAAAAGGCCAAATAAGGTTGATAAGACTGATGATCCCAATTATTGCCGATACCATCACATCATCAGTCATTCCTTAAAGGATTGTTATGTCCTGAAGAATATAGTCGAATGAATGATCAAAAGAAAAGAAATAGAACTGGATTCTTCATGTCCAAAGGCAACATCAAATACCGTCTCATTAGTAGAGGACGACCGTTTACCGGTGAATACCCTACGAAGAAAAGCCATTCTGGTAGCCTTTGAAATAGACGATGAGGTAAAGGTTGTCAACATATATCCTGAGACACTTATTCCAAGCAATGCCAACATGCCCACGTTGTATGAACTCATGAATGGACCAAGTATTGAAACGTGGGAAGATCTACCAGACAATAAACCTGAGTTGGGGAATGAGTGGCACTTTCATGTAAATAGTAAGTCCAAGAAGAATGAAAATCGTTTACAAAAAGGTACAAGGATGATTGAACATTTAGGTATTCGATTTATCGGGAGACCCGAATTAAAAAAGAACAAAAAGAAAAGAAGAAGAGCCAAGAAGACAAGGAATCTCAATGAAGAAGAATACATGCAACCAATAAGAATGCCATTCACGCTGAAGGAATTTCTGCCTAAAGCACTTCAAGAGGATCCTAGAGCTTCCGAAGAAGAAAGGAGCAATAGTGATAACGCTTCTGAAATATCACTAGAGGAAGAGCCACTTTATGATGAAAATGTCGTTCATTGTTACATGATTTCTGAAGAAGAAGAATGAGGGGAAGAAGAAGGGATGAAAGAGCTCGTTTCCCTTCAAAATGCCATCGATTCAGAGGAGGTAGATGAGATAACACTTCGGGAAATGAAGCGTAACATTCAGAAAGCAAAAGAGGCAAATGAGCTCATAAAAGGCAAGAGAAACACAAAAACTGAAGATAACGGAGCCCATCCTAAGTTTATCAAAGAAGAAGAAAATCGCTCATGCCATGTTAATTACAACATTCTCGCTCATTTAAAACTTATTCCTGCTTTGTTAAGTGTTTATGATGCTCTACAAATGTCTCCAGAGCTTATAAAAGTGCTCATAACTGCATTGACCAATCTTGAACCTTTTAAAGGGAAAATAGAGGCTCCCGGAGGTAAAGTGTCATCTTATGAGATCTGTACCTCTTGCATGGCATGTATCTCCTTTAGTGATGATGACCACCAACTTGGTGAAGAAAACCACAATAGACCACTTTATGTTACGGGAATGATAATAGATACTGAAATAAACCGTATAATGTTAGATGGTGGTTCGGCGATAAATGTACTCCCTTTGAAAAGTCTCAGGGTAGTTGGCTTACAATCTCGACATTTATCCCCTTCCCCATTGACAATCCAAGGGTTCAACCAAGCGGGGGAGAGAGCATTAGGGAGTATCACCTTAAAAGTTGAAATAGGTGAATTAAGCTCAAATGTCCTTTTCCATGTGATCGATTCAAGTACTTCCTATAATGTACGGTTAGGAAGACCGTGGCTCCATGGGTGTGCCGATTTCCCTTCAACACTTCATCAATGTTTTAAGTTTTGTAAAGGTGGGGAAGTAATGAAAGTAAATGCAGATCTGGACCCGTTTAGAGGGGAGCAGGTAAACTACGCTGATGCCAACTTCTACAAATCGGCCGATGTCACAATCTTTAAAGATGCCAACAAAATGTCAAAAGGATAAAAGATGAATAGCACCAACAAACAAGTTAAGAGCTCTTCCAAGCCCAATCAAAAGATGACTTTTAAGTACGTGCCAAAAAATCAGCGAGCTCCTGGACAAAAGGCTTTAACATCCGTCAAGAGTGTGGTTGAAACATTAATGACCAGTTTCACCTTCCCGCTTTGGAAGCTAGATCAAACTTTTCCAGTTGGAAAAATGCATATCTCAATTACTTTTGGTGAACACGGAAGCTCAAACAGACATGTTGTAACTGTCAATTCAAACAAGCCAAGGACATTTCCTAACCCTATATCAAGAAAATCAAAGGTGAAGGGCAAGAAAGTATTTTTCAATAAACAACACAGAAGAGTTGTAATTAATCAAAACAATTCTTGTTTGAAAGCAGCCTTTGAGCCTGAAGTATTTATGAAGAGAGAACAGGACATCTTCTCAGAAGAAAATACGAGAAATACAACATAACGAGTTTCTGTCTTGAAAAGAATCAAATACCCATATGCATCTCGACCAAAATGGTTCAAAAAGAACAAGAAGTGGAAGGTAAAAAGACAACAAAAATTTGCTTCATCAGAAAAAGAAGAGATTGTGATTCAAGAGCAACCAGAAGAAAATGAACAGGTTAATTGTGTCTCATTTGAAGAAAGTTCCAGTAATGAATTAGAAAATCGTACACTTGAATCCTCAGAAGAATTCATTAACATTGTACCAGCTCCTCCGGGACTAGAAGATGGAGGACAAGCAACGGTTGACGAGCTTAAGAAAATTAACCTCGCTACAGAAGAAGACCCAAAGCCAGTTTTTGTGAGTGCTCTTTTGACAGCGCAGGAACAATCATACGAGCAATGTCTTCGAGAATATCGAGATGTGTTTGCTTGGAGTTATAAAGACATGCCTGGGTTAGATCCAGAGGCGGCAGTGCATAAACTGGCTGTATCAAATGATGTTCAATGTGTAAAGGAAGCCTAAAGACGTGTCCGTCCACAGCTAGTTGCACAAATAGAAGCAGAGGTTGATAAACTAATTAAAGCTGGCTTCATCCGGGAAGTCCAATACCCGACTTGGTTGGTGAATATTGTCCCTGTACAGAAGAAGAACGGGCAAATTCGTATTTGCGTGGATTATAGAAACCTCAACAATGCTTGTCCAAATGATGAGTTTCCACTCCCAATAACTGTGTTGTTAGTTGATGCTACTACTGGATTTGGGGCGTTATCCTTCATGGATGGATTCTCGGGATATAACCAAATCAAGATGGCACCAGAAGATGAAGAGCTCACTGCTTTGCGAACACCAAGGGGCATTTATTGTTATACAATGATGCCATTTAGACTTAAAAATGCAGGGGTAACATATCAGATGACCATGACTGTCGTCTTTGATGACATGCTTCATAACACCGTTGAATGCTATGTTGATGACTTGGAAGTCAAGACTAAGGAAATGGAGTATCATTTAAATGACCTTAAACGAGTTTTTGACAGACTCCGACAACACCAAGTTAAAATGAACCCCTTGAAATGAGCATTTCGTGTAACTTCTGGAAAGTTCCTCGGGTTTGTGGTGAGACATAGAGGAATTGAAATTAATTCAGTAAAAATAAAGGCTATCACAGAAATGCCTCCGCCTCGTAACCTATGCCAGTTACGAGGAATACAGGAAAAACTTGCATACATAAGGAGATTCATTTCTAACATGTCTAGTAGATGCCAACCCTTTACAAGGTTAACTCAAAAGAATGTGCCATTTGTATGGGATGATACATGTCAAAATGCTTTTGAAAGCATAAAAGATACTTGTTGAATCCACCAGTGCTCATGGCTCCAATCATTGAAAAACTATTGATCTTGTATATTGCGGCACTCGAACGCTCTTTAAAAGCATTGTTAGCTCAAAACAATGAAGATAGGAAAGAGCATGCCCTATAGTATATAAGTAGAACCTTAGTAGGGGCAGAACACAATTATCACCCAATTGAAAAAATGTGCTTGGCCCTAATTTTTGCTGTCACAAAGTTACGCCATTATTTGTTATCACACTCAGTGACTCTCGTATCAAGGGCAGATCCCTTGAGGTACATACTCTCAAAGCCGATACTCTCAGGGCGTCTCGCTAAATGGTCTATGATCTTGTCAGAGTTCGATATCGAGTTTGTTCCACAGAAAGTAGTCAAAGGCCAAGCACTTGCTAATTTCTTGGCAGCACACCCCATTCCTGACAATATGGAATTGCCCGACGACCTTCCAGATGAAGAAGTATTTGCCACTGAAATGTCTTTCTGGCAGCTTTACGTTGATAGAGCAGCAAGAAAAAATAGTGCTGGAGCAGGCATTGTATTCATTACACCATCAGGAGGACTAATACTATATTCATTCTCTATTCTCGCAACTTGCACAAATATTGTTGCAAAATATGAAGCACTGATTATTGGTTTGGAAATAGCACTCGAAATGCAGATGAGCCATCTTAGGGTGTTTGGTGATTCCCGATTGATCGTCAAACAAATATATGGGGAGTACGCTGTTAAGAACGAGAATTTGATGTCGTATCACGAGAAAACAAAGCATTTAATGTCCCAGTTTGAAGACATCATGCTAAGTCATATTCCAAGATCAGGAAATGACAAAGCTGACGCCTTAACTAGTCTCGCAACATCCTTGATTTTGCCAGACGAAAGGAGAATGCAGATAAATGTTGGCAAACGACGTCTGCTACCACTAGTAGTCAAAAGAACACAAGAGGAGGAAACGGTAAATGTAGTCACTTTTAGTGAAAATACAGAGGAAGCAGATTGGCGTCAACCGTTGATCGATTACTTCCAACATGGGGCATTACCAGATAATCCAAAGAAAAAATTAGAAGTACGAAGAAGGGTTCTTCAGTTTGTCTTCATAAATGACACTTTGTACAGACGATCTTTTGATGGAATATTATTGAGATGTTTATCAAAAGATGACGCATCACATGCTCTTCAAGAAACACATGCCGGAACATGTGGAGCTCATCAAGTCGGCCCTAAACTTGCAGAGCAAATAAAAAGATTAGGTTATTATTGGCCTACCATGGTGCAAGATTCGATTAATTTTGCTAAGCGTTGTAAGTTATGTCAGCTCCATGGAGATTTCATCCATCAACCTCCATTGCCTCTTCACCCATCAATCATGTCATAACCATTTGATACTCATGGTTTAGATGTAATTGGACCTTTCACACCAGCATCCTCAAAGGGTCATAAGTATATTTTGGCTGGGACGGACTATTTTTCAAAATGGGCTGAAGCAATACTTATAAAAGAAGTAAGAGCAGAAGATGTCACAAACTTCATAAAGAATCATATAATCTACCGTTATGGAGTGCCATCGAAGATCATCTCCGACAACGCTCTTTATTTCAGATGCAAAGCAATGATGAAGTTGATGGAAAAATACAAATTCTGACATGGATTCTCAACAAGTTATAATCCGTCCTTCAATGGCCAAGCAGAAGCCTTTAACAAAGTGCTTTGCAAAATTCTAAAGAAAATGGTGTCAAAGAACAGGAGAGATTGGCATGAACGCCTCCCAGAAGCCCTATGGGCTTATAGAACCACAGTGCGAACTGCAACGGGTTGCACACCATACAGTTTGGTTTTTGACTCCGAGGTCGTACTCCCATTAAAAGTGCAATTGCCATCTTTCAGAATTGCTACTTAATTGATGGCATCGGACGAAAATGTCCAAGTGAGATTAGTTGAGCTTGAAGCATTAGAAGAGAAAAGGCTCACAGTACAACAAAAGCTTGAAATTTACCAAGCCCAAGTGGCAGGGGCTTTTAACAAAAAGGTCAAATTCAGATCATTCACGGTGGGAGAGTTAGTCCTTACAATCAGAAGACCAATTGTTATAACAAGAAGGATGCAAGGTAAATTCGAAGCAAAGTGGGAAGGACCATACGTTGTTACTAAGGTTTTCCCAAAAGGGGCATATGAGCTTTCTGATTCAGAAGGTCACTGCATTTACTCCTGTGTAAATGGAAAGTTTATCAAAAAATTCTATGCCTAAATGGGAGAGGTACGCCTCCTGACATATAGCCCGCAGAACAAAGATAACAGTGGAAGTAAATAAATGAAGCATAGTGAACTACGAATGGCTTGATCTCCCAAAAAGGGGTACGTAGGTAATCTGGTAATAAACTAGATGCAGGCACAAAACAAAACAAAAATACATGTGTCCCTCCATAGAACTACGGAAGGCTTGATTCCTGTGAAAAGGATACGTAGGCAATCTAGTAATAAACTGGATGCAGCCACAAAATAAAAAATAAAAAACAAACTATTTTGTTCTACTGGAAGGAAATAAAATTAATCAAATATGTTTTTTTAACATAAAGTCTAAAGCAGAGAAAATAAATCCTGATGAAAGAGACATAAAGAAAAATGTCTAAACAAAAAGAGGGGAGCTAAACAGGAAATAAAAAAAAGGGGGACAAGTTATGGATTCTCCTTAAAAAATGCAGCAAGTGAATCACTAATCTTTTGAGATTCCTCCCTTTCAGATTAAAGTTCTGCCTCAACTTTCTCAATTTTGAAGTATCGATCTACTCTCGCTGCGGTTTTCAAAATCTGGAGCTCTTCACTAAGTTTCCACTGTTCTTCTAAGGAAGTCTTCAACTGTTGGACGCGTGCCTTAGCAACCTTCAACCTATCTTCATAAGCTTGACGCAACTGTTGCGCCACTAGTAGCAGTTTTTGTGCCTCCAATTCTGTTTTGATAACTTTTTCTTCAGTAGCGTTTTCCCTTATCACAAGTGATTCATCATCAGATACTTGGATTGAAAGTGACTTCATAGTGGAAAGGTATTCTTCATCACAATGAAGCAGATCTTTAATCTCAACCCTGTTTATTGTTGTCTTTTCTTCTAAAAAGGATGGAGCATTAGCCAGCTTCTGTTCTGAGTTGAAAAAATCATCCAAGGTATCTTTAAGCCAATTAAGCGCCTGGTCATCTAACCTTTTCTGAGCACAAATGAAACCAATTGTATCGAGATACTCAAACACTTGAGAGCGATAAGTCAAAGTCTCTTGAGGTGATTACGAGCTGAAGATCCAAGTAAAGATTTGTCGTAGCATACCAAGCATAAAATCCTTATTTAACTTATCTATATCAGCTCTAATGAGACGTGAGATTGACATAGACGGTTCTTGAGAGGCCGATGGAGCAACTGACTCTGGAAATGGTTGTTTGATATTCAATTCTTGAGAAGCGGATGCGACGACAGACTCTTGAAAAGATTGAATGGCAGTCGGATCTTGAGGCAACATTGTGATTACTGGATTGCAGGGAGGAGGAACCATCATCGCTAAAGGACGAGGAGCGTCTACATAAGGGACAATATCTAAACATTTGGATGTCTTTGCACCAGTGTCTCCCCTGATAGGAGTATGTTCTAAGTGGACTATCATCTCTCAATGGATTATAATCTGCGAACACATCCTCCCTAAATGGACTGTCATTCATATGATCACCTCCCACATCTAAGTTGTCTGCATTAATAGGGATATCCTGGCCGATTGGGGCAGGAGGAGGCTCGATAGTCTCAAGAAGTCCAACACTGGAGATTTTAAGTTTGTTTGAAGCTCAAGGAGCATCTATATTCTTTGGTTTAATGTTAGAAGTCTGAGCATGCTGAGATTTGGTCCTCTTATGGCGTGTTTCAGAATCGCCTGCTTCATCAAATGACACGTTTCTGAACCTCATAAGTCCCTTCATTTACTTGAAACCGACATTTATCAAGCATGTCATCAAGTGTTTCATATACCTTCCTAATATCGGTAATTATGAATGTGGGCTCTTCTGCCTTGTAAGGCTGCTTACTAAACAAAGAATGAATACTTTTCACAGATCTTCCTAAATAGGGTGTACTACATTTCACCCACCAGCGACCGTACCACCATGTGCATTGGCCCATTCGGGTCATACTTGGCACCTCAAAACGGGCACCAGTATTCATTCTCAGAAGAAAATCCCATGCGCCTTTTATGTCAAGAATCCCGATAGATAAATCACGTTTGAGACTGAGGTATAAATTGTTTGAAGGCACGCCTTGGTCAAAACCAAATTGACGAGCAAATCTATTAGGGGAATATACTTCGAGGTATAAATCGTTTCCCACTCTTACAGGTAATGTGGAGGACCGTAAGGAAACAAGAAGTTCAAAGATGTCGTCAGATAAACCATTATCATCTAAGTAAAGAGTGTCTTCTCTCTCAAGGAAAGAAAATGGATGACGACGCACATAGTCCTCGCCCCTAAAAGTGCTTCTAGCTACATTTAAACTTTGCTTATCAGCTGGAAGTCCGGCCACCCTATGCATCCGAGGGGAATCGTCAACAACATCCTAACTTGAATAAAGGTGGGGAAAGTATTCTGCTAGCCATCCTATCACATAATGCATAGGCAAGTGAATTTCAGAAACACCAATTCCTCGTGGATCTATTGCAGAAGTACTCAATGCATGGTAGATATAACCCAAAACAGAAGGTGCAAGTGACACTTTCTTTCCTTGTGCCATCAAAGTGGCCATGCAGAAAGTCTCAGGCCTAATGTTACTATTCTGATAGGGAAAAATAAACCGGCTCAGCCAAAGAGATAGGAAAGCTGCAAGCATGCACTCTTCTAAAACATCCAGACGCAAGGTCTTGAGAGAAGGCCTTTCTTTCAAAAAAACTTTTCTCTTTATAAGGTTTTTGCCTAGGTTTAGTCGAAGGCCCACTCGGCAACCCATGAAGAAGTGTATCCCCACGATAAAAATACTCAATCCATTCTCCCCAGGATACCTTTGTAACATTTAAAAATTTGCAGATTTGAGCCCTCAAAAGCTCAACAACAGTGGGAGAATACAAGGAAGGATTCAGTAATCGAGCATTAGGCAGAATAAATTCTTCATAAGGAATTCCGAGAATGGTTAAACCTCCAATTCTTTTCAAATCATATAAAGAGATTCCTATTTCACCACCACTGTGATGGAAAGTATTAGTTTGTGGCCCCCATAGTTCAACAAAGGCTCTCCATACGTTAGCATTAAGTGCATAAGGGAACCTAGAAACATCATCCGCTCCATAAATGTTTGCACTACGTAAAATAGTGCAGTTATGTATTAAAATGTGCTCAGTCCATTCCATTAGAGAAAGTTGGAAGCAAGCTCGACCACGAAAATTGAATTTTCCTAAAATTTTCTTGTCTTTCAAATTGTAAAAAAACCCCAGGTAGAATTCATTCGTCGCCACAAATCTGTAGTCCCCATCATCATCGTTGTTAATTTCCCCAATAAATTTTCCATTAAAGATAGGACCATGTTGTTGAAGATGTTGAACAACTTTGGTCTCACTTAAGAATTTGTATCTCAAATCTCCATAAGGTACCTCACAAGTGGTGGTCAAAATAGCCCGGTGTTTCGAATCCGTAGAGGCAATAATTTCATTTAATGATACTAAATGGCGATATTTTGGACCAAAATCAACCTCTCCACCACGATTGTCTGGCGCCCTCTCTGAACAAATCTCTCCATAAACATCCATCGACAACTGAAAAAATAATAATAACCAAAAGGGAGTTAAAAGAAATAAAATAAAAAACGAACTCAAGCGCCGCACGTGTTCATCAATCACACGCACACGCTTGAGGGGTCATCTGTTTGCGGTAAAAAAAATGAATCACAAATGGGCCTTAAAAAATGAGAGAAAATAAAACTGTGCTGGCCCAAAAAATAATAATAATAATAAAAGAATGGGGATTAAGAAAAATGAACATTTTAAAACGTGAAGTGATGGTAAAAAAGTACATAACGTGACAAAAATAGGTGCAGAACGTGTGTGTAGAACGTGAGGTGGTAGATAACATGGAGTGATATAAAAAAAATGGTGCAGAACATGACAAAAAAATGGGTGCAGAACGTGTGTACAGAACGTGAGGTGGTACAGAACGTGGAGTAATGGTAAAAAAAAAAACTATTACCGAATACTCTTATATAAAGAAAGAAGCGAAAAAAAGCTTTTCTGAAGACTTTCTACGCAGAAGAGAGGTGAGAGAAAGAAAGAGAAAAAAAAAGTGCAAAAGAAAAAAAAAAATATATATATATATAGAAAGCTGCAGGTGTTTTGTGGGAAAAACGTGAGAAGAAAACAAAAAAGGACTCTGTGCAGACATGTGTGCAGAAGAGGTGAGAGAAAGAAAAAAAAAGTGCGTGTGTGCAGAAGAGAAGTAAGAGGAAAGAAAGAAAAAAAATACATCCCCAAAAGTGATAGTTATTAAGTCCTATATGCGTTTTAAAGTATGAAATTGTGATTTATTCCTTGACACTCTTCATGAAGATAAATTTTATATACGCTTTATGGTGTGAGATTTTTTATACCCTTAATAAATTTTTAATGCACTTATGGTGTGTGATTTCTCATTTTTATCACAATCCTATGATTATCACTAAGACTTGAATTTCTTTTTAAAGATCTATATAAGTTAAATGTAATTTCAAAAAAATTAAGGATTAAAAATTTCTCAAATTATTTATTACGATTGTTTTAAGTGCATTCGAGTGAAAAATTCATACGAATTACACTTTAAAGATCGGCATATGAAAAATTATGTACATATGATCTATATGAAAATATTCATATGTATCACACGATGCCGCTGAATAGTAATCAAACAATGAAGATGTTTAAAAAAAAAAGAGAGAGCAAGCAACCGTCACTTGCATCTCTTTCTCAATACCTTCACAAATATATATATATATATATATATATATGCACACACACACACACACCAAAGAGAAGATGGCTAAGAAAATGGCTTGCTTATAGCTTGCTGCGAAGAAGCTATATACCAAAGAGTTCACGTGCAGGAAGAAAATGGCTAAGAAAATGGCTTGCTGTGAAGCTAAAATGAGGAAACGTATAGAAAGGATGAGGATGAGGGAAATCTAAGTTCCTTTTGAAATCAAATGGCTAACAAAAAAAAAAAAAAAAAGGGATATAAATCATACAATCGGATCAATCAGTTTAGATATGATGAAATTTAAAATAAAAAAAGATAGGGGATAAAGGATAAATTTCAAAAAAATTCATAATATTAAATACCCAAAAATTTAAAGTGCACAAATTGAGCCCCTTTACTGCCCCTTAGTTCAAAAAGATGAGCTCATTGTCTCATAAAACTATATGGTGATTAAATACAATTTTCAAACCTCAAATTCAAAAAAAAAAAATCTCTCCACACCAAATTCAAAAAGGATCCTTCTAATTCCCCATAAGGTCATGTACCGGAGAATTATCCAAATATAATTTTCAAATCCAAATTCTAAAGTAAAATTCCAAATCGAATTTTAAAATATCTTTGACTTCCTCCTATGATCATATATCGGGGAATTCTCTAAAATCTAAATTCAAATTTAAGAACTACGATTGACTTGATTCCCTATCGAATATGTAGGCAACTTAAAATTTATGTGCAGTTTCAAAACCAAATTCAATCCCAAAAATCCTCATAAAGGGCAAAGTCAAAACAAAACTAAATCAAACTTCAAAGTGAGTAAATTCCTCATAAGGTCATACACCAAGGAATCATCTAAAATTTTCAAACCCAAAATAAAAACTACGATTGACTTGATTCCCTATTGGATACGTAGGCAACCTAAAATTTAAGCGCAGTTTCACGACCAAATTCAATCCTAAAAATGCTCATAAAGGACAAAGTCAAAACAAAATTAAATCAAATTTCAAAGTGCATAAATTCCTCATAAGGTCATACACCGAGGAATTATCTAAAATTTTCAAACCCAAAATTCGAACTAGAATTGGCTTGATCTCCTAATGGGGTATGTGGACAACTCGGCTAAATTCATCGAGTTCAGCCACAATTTTAAATCAACCCGAATTTCTCAAATTCACAGAAAATATAATTTACTATTTTAATTGGAATCAAAAGGTCTTCCCTTGTACCAATGGATTGTAATTAAAAGGTTATTCTTATAATCTTGAATGAGTCGAACTAAAAATAATAAATTTCTATATTAATTAAATCCTAATATATGTGAAATTATGTTGTATGCAACAAGTTTAAAACCTGGTTTGTTCCCTCCAAAAAAAATAAAAAAATAAAAAAAAATAAAAACCTGGTTTGTCTATCCTGTAAAATCCCCCTAGATATTAGCAAGCTCACTCCTATTATCAGAATTCCTATTATAGTTTTTGCAACATTGTTCCAATGCAACTTCCTTTAAAATATTGTGCCATCGTGGTCAATTCAATTCTATACCAGTGGTAAAGTATTGACTTGACTAGACTCCGTACTGGGAAGAAAAAGATTCAAACATCTTTCGCATACAAGGAGAAGGATTTCAAATTACAACTTCTCCAACCAGAAACACATTAGAATTCTAACCCCTCACTATTCTCCAGATAAAAAACATTGCACCTAAAAAGGTCAAAACTATCCAAAACTAGAAAGGGATAACGATAACCAACTCATGATTTTATATCTTATGATCAAACTCATATTAGCAAATAATCTTTCTCGATTATAACCCTGCCACAAAGCTGTCCCACCAACAATCTTGTAGACTTCCTTTACCTATTTGTGGGAAAAGAAAAGACCATAAGCCAGATTTAGAAAATGTAAACCGTCAATATATACATATCAAAAACAAAATAAAAGCAAAAAACATATGGAGTTTTAATATGGAGAAAGATTATTTAGAAGGAAAAAAAATCAAAATCAAAATAAAAGCAAAAAACAAAAGAAAACAGAAAGCAGTCTTTTGATTGAAAGCCCGTAGGATAAAGCAATTCCACTTAACAGGAATACATTATGATGATCACCGTACTTACATAAGATGAATAGAAGATGGACCGGATGTAGCAGCTACTCTCTGTGCACGCTGAGCTTCACCCCTGTAAAGCCCCTTCATTTCTTTCTTCACACGCCGGGCCTCATGCTTTTCCTCCTTTAAAGCAGCCTACAAGAATAAAATTTTAATATCATCAACCAAAAACTAGTTGCAGAGTAGTGGTGTGCAAACAAAATAAAATTGCAGGATTCCTCAAAGTATCAACACCTAAGCAAGTGACTTCCGAGTAAGTCATTGCAGTTCAGAACTAGTTTTGCAATACCTTTCGTTCCTGCTTCTCCTCCTTCGACTCCTGACCGTGCTGCTTCCTCTTCTGCTGCTCAGTTCTCAAGTTATCAGCACTTCTAGCCTTTTCTACGGTGGGTTTTCTACCACCAAGCAAAAAGTCCACAGGCAGCTTTTCTCTTCCTTTAAGGGCTATCATAGGATTGCTAGCTTTCAAGGCTCCGGACATAGCTTCAGCAAGTTTCTTCTTTCTAGTTGCTTCTGGTGCCTTTATTTTACCAGGTTGGTTATCAAGGTTTGAGTACGTAGAAACAATAGTCTCACAATCCCACACTTCTGATTCATCACTACTTTCCTCTACAATAACCATATCTTGATTTCGATCATCATTCTCATACTTCTCTGCATATTCCATGCACCGCCGAATTAAATCCCTTGCAGAATCCACAAGTTCTGTACGTTTTGGTTTATCATCAGCATGAATTAAATCTGCAGGAACCTTATACTTATCATCAAGTTCAAAATCGTTGATTGTTTCATCATTGAGGGCATGTTTCAGCTTCTCTGCAAGTGATTCATCTTCTTCAGCGATGTAACCATAATCATCAACATCATCATGGTCACTGCCATATTCCTGACTTTCAAGCTGTAACAGGAAAGTTATGAGACAAATATAATATAACTCGTGTAAAATTAGAATCAGAGAAAAACTGCATTTGTATTCAAAGTTGATCCTGATTCTTGGGACAAACTATACTTTGATATGACATCTTGCGAAAGAGCATTTTGCACCTCACGCCATGTATATACTCAAACCAACTAAATGACTTTCACACACTATATTAACCTACAGATGCATATTTACGTAAGGTAAAACAGGATGTCTCATAAGTGTAGGAGACTGACTCAAACTGATCACAGATACTGGCAAGTGACTCTACTCTTGAAAAATCAATCACCTCTAAAAGCGTCTTTTCAATCAGAAAATCAAATTCTTGTTATAATTTGTTAGCATTCAATGAAAATTGAATATAAAAAAACCTGATTGCCTCCCACAACAACTAAATTTGACGTGAACAAATAACGTTAAGCATCTAAACAACAACCATAGCGACAATAAAAAGGACTCACAAGATCAAATTGCTCATCCAAAAGACGACGAACTCGTGGCTTTTCAGTAAAAGAATCATCTTTTGCTTCCGTGACATGACTTCCAACTCCATCCTGAGAACTCAAGCCACTCACATTCTGCGGCTGCCGAAAAGTGTGGTCTTCACAAATCACCTCTTTGGACTCAAATTTCTCGCATAAACTCGATCCCTTGTCTGTAGATACATTCTCGTTATCTCCCCGAAAATTCGCCTGGATAACGAAATCCTCTTCCAAATCCTCAACATCAGAACCAAACCGTGAGGCTTCATTATCCACAAGCAATGCAGCGATTTCAGGATCAACCGCTCTCTGAATTCTAACACCAACCGTCTCCGCCGCTACACTGTACATGTATATCTCATTGGCATCATCTTTCGCGTCGGAAATTCGAAGTCTTGAAGCATCATAAGCCTGAAAACCCACCAAGCAACCTTTTTAAAACTGAAAAAAAAAAAAAACTACTTTAATTGGCGAACTAAACGTACCTTGACATCACTGGGAACAAGATCGAGCCTAGTCTTTGGATTACGGTAGAAGGCGGAACCACCACCGATATTCTTACTCTCCCTCAAATGGAGGAGATAATTGTACCCGTCGTCTGGCAACCCTAGCTCCAAAATCTCCTTTCTGACATGCTCAGGCAGAGGCTGCGCCGCCGACCGCGACGAGCTCCCGAAAGCGCAATTATCGTCCTCTCCAACGTCGTAATCGTCAGGCGCGTCGGCGAATATGGAATCGGGGTCTTCGGCATTGTCGTGGCCGTCGCCGGCGAAGAAAGTATCGGTGGAGTAGTGGTTGTTGTCGACTCGGACGAAGACTCGATCACTGCCCGGTGAGCCGTCGTAATTGGGAGCGGAAGAATCGCGGGCGAGTAATTGGAAGGTTGCCGATTTCTTTTTGTCGATAAATTTCTTCTTCTTCCCCATTTTTTTCATCTGAGATGAAAGCAACAAGTGGAAGTAGAGCCAGAGGAGGATAAGGAGTGAGACAGGGTACAGCTAGGGTTTTGTATTTGTTTTCAAGGGTTCAGTTGATTATTCCGAAATTTAATATCAATTTCTAAAGTTTCGGATTAACCCTTTTATTCTCTACAATTACAGAATGCATAATATATTTTACCTTTCTAACATGTATGCCCCTATACTCTAATAGACATCTTTGTCGTTTACATGTATTTGTCGTTTAGATTATCAGTTGTGCTAATATTCTTTTTTTCACCCTCTTTCTTTCCTTTTCTTAATACTCGTTTTTTTCATAAATTCAAACTAATAATTTTTTATTTTAATTTTTAAAATTAAAATTTTTTATAAAAAAAAAAACACTGAAACAAAATCAAACTATGAATTTGAATCCATAAAATAAAGGAATTGTAGACAACTTTTAGATATCAACGTCGTTCCAAATGTCTTCATTGATTCTAAATGTGTCGTTTTTCAAATTTTCACGTTTAAAAATATATGGTTGTGTTGTGAGTTTGTTGCTTTTTTATATGAGTAAATTGTATTATTGTTCTCCAAATTATTTGGTTTTTATATAATGCATCGTCAACTTTTAATTTTGAAAATTACATTTTGAACTTTAAAATAAGTTGTAATTAAAGTCTAGCAACTAATTCTATTATCAAATTGACGGTTCAAGATATAAGATTTGTCCATGACATTTTTTGAAAAATCACAATATTTATCTTTTTTGTCTAATCTCTTTTGTTAAACCATCAACTCGATGGCATTTGTTAGACTATTACACCTCAATTCCAATTGAGTGTAAATTAAGGCCGGCTGAAGGATAAAGCAGCTAAGACTACTGCCTAAGGCCTCAAATTTCCATGATATTATTAGGCTTTCGTTATATATGGAAAAAAAAAAAAAAACGTTTTTAAGTAGTTAAAGCTAATTTATTATACCATATTTTTGTTTTCTTTCACCAAACATTAGTTCTTTCTTTCTCTCTCGTTTTAGAACTCCTTTCTCCTGAGAGGAACTTGTTATTACCTTTTCTTTTAAACATGATAAATGTTGTAATATATTTTGTTATAAAATCATAACCTCTTTTTTAAGAAATACTCAAGATAGCTTTATAGGTCTCGTAATCCACAGAATAAGGACATGTTTACTTATCCGTAATCAGAGTGGACATGATTCGGAATGGGTAGGAATCGGAGTCAAAAATTAGAGTCAAAATAAGTTGTTTACTTAGGTTCCGAGAATCATAATCAGAATCAATCTCAATCCTATTCATGTTTTTGCTTACACTCAGAATCAGAATAAACTGTTATAAATTTACTTACCTACTCTTTTAGTAGATTTTTGTGTGTTGAACTTTAAAAAAAAAAATTGTATATTATGCTAACTATCTTAATATTAGAATAACTAACTAGTAATTAGATTTTTTTAATCACACCTAATTAATCATCTAAGTTATTTTTCTCACTAAATTTTAACTCAATTTCAAGAAAAGAATATGATGATGAAATAAAATAAGAACAAAATAACTATGTTTTAAGTCATAAACTTTCAAAAAGAAGTTCCAAGTCATAAATCGAAAAATATATCCTAAGCATAATTCAAAGTACTAACATAATTTAAGTAAACTAATAATTGGCGAAGCTAACACTTAATCCCCACGACTAAGAATTTTGAGGATGTATCCCTTCTTGAGTTGATCCGGGATGTTGTAGAATACACGTAGCAAATCATGCTTTGTTGCTAAAATATTGGTGGCATCATGAACTTGATCATCATCTAAGCCATCACTTTTCAACATTTCTTGATACAAGTTGGCTTGTAATCCAGCTAAATCCTTGTCAGGAGTGGATGTGCAAAAACATTGCAAGCATCTCCTCAACAGATACATTTCTTGTGCTTGTCAAACCTCATTTCTTACATAGAAGCTTGCATAATCTTCTAAACATTTCTCTATCCATTCTTAATTGTGTCACACACTTGATATCACTCTCATAAACCAAATTATATAAGTGACCTAATTGTTGATAAACCCTTATAACCATCTTTGGACTTCGTATCCTTCGTTCATAATAAATAGAAACATAGGTACACATAGCAGCACACACAACCATAATCATTTGTAACATTATAACTATCTCTTTTATCACTACAACCACTCTCTTCTTTCGTACTAAAAGTCTAAACATGATTACTCTACATTATCAACATATAAAATTAGATTTAGTATCACATTGTATATTATAAACATGAACAACAATAGGCATAACACAAGAATCAAATTATAAGAAAAAAAGAAAAAAAAAACTGGAGTACTAGAATCACGAGAAATAAAGAGGGATAAAAATTATTAATAGTTTCAGTCTTCTAATCTTATAGTAGAAATTCCTAAAATAAAACAAATATAAGAGTTTAAAGAAATAAAGAGGGATAAAAAATTAAATTAAGATAAGGAAAAAAACTGAAAAGCCAGAAGCATTATCAACGTGGAAAGGAACAACAAAACTAACTAAACTAAAGCATTATCAACGTGTTCGACACAAAAAAAAATAAAAAAAATAAAAATAAAAATAGAGGATGATTTATGGCTTACCTGCAAATTGAAGAACCACGGCAGAAGAGGGGAAGAGGGGATGGTAAATGGCTGAGAGAGAAAGAATGAAATAAACCCTAGAGAGTTAAATAAAGGAGAAAAATTAAGGGTAATTAAATTCGTAATTTTGCATTTAATATCAGGATTGGGAGTGGCAATCCTGTGGGGGGTGGGGGGAGTGTCAATCTCATTTCTCAATCCCAAATTAGTGTGGGGCCCACACATTCTCACTCTCATTCCAGGATATAAATGGGTAAGTAAACATAGAGTTGATTCCGAATTCCAATTCTCATTCCCTATAAGTAAACATGCCCTAAAAGTGGTTATATAATCTACCGAGTTGTGTCATTGTTTACATGTGTATTTTACTTATTTATGACAATATGATCTTCATATTACTGCATGAATAAACTAAAAAGGAATTTTGTTCTATATTTAAAACCATTTAAGTTCTTAGGAGTACACAACCAAAATTGGCATGGGCTAAAAGAAACTGCAGGATCTTCTTCGCAAGTCAGGCATCATCTTGGTTCGGTGTGTTTCTTCAGTTCTATTCAAGTTTTTTTACTTCTTTTTTTTTTTAACTTAAATTAAAATACTATCATCTACTACAGAAACAATTCTAAAATTCTTAGGATTACAAATTTTAATTAATATTTCTAAATTCGTCATCAGACTTAGACCATTCTTGCCCAGTCAACTGAAATTTTAATTATCAAGTTTACATGCATCATATGAACTATATGAGTGACAACTCCATAAGTATAACATAATTTAATTTTCATTTTCACAATACTTTTCTTTAACATTTAGGATCATCTTCTATAACATTAGTCTTATGTTATTAGAACATTTTTCATCGGACTCTTATCTTGAAATCTCTTATTCTTTAAGTATTTAGCCCTTATCATATTTGTCAGTTGGTTCAAACACAAGAGTTCACATCATACAAATAAAATATTCTTCGTAAAATTCTTTAAAACACGATCATAATCATAATATCATAAAATCGGAACATGCTTTTAAAACATAATATTATTCATGTGATGCTAATTATAATTAAGCTGCTTAAAAGGGAAATCTACTTTTTTTCCTCTCAGATTTCCTTTATTTTCTCTCTCTCATAGATTTCCTTTTTTCCTCTCTTTCTTTTTTCTCTCACTCTTTCTTTTCTTTTCTTTTCTCTTTTCTCTCTCTCTCAATTTTTTTATTCTCTTATTTTCTTCTTTTCGGTTTTCAACTGCTCTTCTTCTTCTTTTTTTTTTTCTTTCTTTTCCTTTTTTTTTCTTAATAGAACTTGCTCTACATAGATTAAACAAATGCTTGGCAACAAGATGATAGGTGGCTGCCCCATGATAATGAATGTGGCGTAGCAACAATATCCAAATGAGATTAGAAGGTCTTGAACCTTGTGACTACATATTCTGGAGCAATTACAGCCCACATAGATGAGGCACAACAAATTTTCGATAAGATGCCTGTAAGAGATACCGTTTCATGGACTGCAAATTTTATTAGGGTACGTGGATGCACAGCAAATGGAGGAAGCCACGTCCTTTCTGAGGGAAATTCTAGAGAAGAACCTTAGAACGTGGGCTGTGATGATTTCGGGGTTAGCACAAAATGGATTTGGATAAGAGGCTTTAGAGCAGTTTAACCAAATGAGATCAGGAGGTCTTGAACCCTGTGACTACATTTTTTCTGGAGCAATTACATTTTGTGTTGTGCTGGGTGCTTTAAACCATGGATGCCAACTACATGCTTTATTGATCTTCCTGGGACATGATTCAAGTCTCTCAGCTGGAAATGCACTTATAACAATGTACGCAATATGCGGGGTTGTCAGAGGCTGCAAAACGAGTATTCCTCACCATGGTTTATGTGGACTCGGTGTCTTGGCTTGCCATGATTACAGCTCTAGCACAACGTAGAAAAGGTATTCAAGCAATAGAACTTTTTGAACAGATGTTGAAGGAAGATATTCGATTAAACAGGCTGGCATTTCTCACAATTATCTCAGCATGTAGGCATTCTGGTTTAGTAAAGAAGGGCGCCAATATTTTGATTTAATGCATGATTCTTATGGGATGGTTCCGGATAAAGATCATTATGTGAGTATGATCGATTTGTTTTTTTGAGTTGGGAAGTTTATAGAAGCCGAGGAATTAATAAAATCAATGCCTTGCACGCATTTAGGAGTCTCTTCTTACTGGCTCTTGAATTCATGGGAATATGGATTTGTGTATTCATGCGAGAAGAAGAGTATCTGAAATACAAGACAGCAAAATTGTCAAATGGAAACACTTGAATTTTACAAAGATTAATAATGATAATGATTCCCTGACAGCGGCGTCAAAAACTTGTTGGTAAAAATTCATTACGCAAGTACACGTGCGGAACAAGTAATAAAGTGAATGAGTAGAGTATCGTTCCCACGGAAAAAGTTAC